CCAAACGCACTCGAGCTATCATAATCATAATACGAGGCATAAAGACAACATTCGAACGCAATACTGCAGACTAACCAAATCGCAAAACCACCATTCGTATCAGGCACAAAATTTTTTTAATATGCTCCCAAGGCATATTCAAAATCTTGACAAAGTGCAAATCAAAAAAATTCTTAAAAGACACCTTATTAATAAAGCATATTATTCCACCACTGAATGTATTCACGATGGGTTTAGTAATCTCTAATTGTTAGTGATTTGTTTATTTATTTATTTGCTTGTTGTTAGTTGATATACGTTGTTTGTAATCTCTACTATATATTTTTAGACGAATGTAAGCGCTTTTGCGTAGTAGCATGTAAAATAAATATTATTATTATTATTATTATTATTATAAGTGACAAACTCTCTTCTGAAGGGCGCCTAATTTCCTGCATCCAGAATAACTTCTTAAAATACAAATAAAGATTCACAGAAAATAAATATCTTGCACTCCTTAAATTGTTACCGGCACTATATCAATTGACAATATCATCTTTTCCTTCAGTTGAATGCATCACACACGAACGAAAATAAAAGTACGAAAGCCTAAGCAACAATATTCAAATTATTTAATATCTTTATTTGTTTTAACAAGTTTTTGGATGCATAAAATTAGGCGCCGCCGTTCAGACGGATTTTGTCGTTTAAAAGTATACATAGGGAAAAACAATACACGTAAATCCCTATATCTACTTCTTAATTTTCGGGTGAGCCGAATGTGAGTGGGTTTCTATTATAAACTTAAGCGACGCAGATTAACTACAATCGCATTACGTGATCCAAGGTGCACCGATGTCGATGAACGTTTATATCTGAAGTAATTACTCCGTTATTCAATAAAAGCGCTCCTTGATGTCAGGAAAGCTGAAATCCATAGGAAATCTTGGAAAGTAAGGAACATTCATCTACATATTTCGGACAATTGTCTATCACTGTCAACTTCATATACCACGAATACAAACTTCGACCTAGGGGAACCCTGAATCAAGACAATTTCTATGGGAATCGATTCAATTTTAAGAGAAGAGTAATTAGAGGTATTGTGAAAATTTGGTTACTGTAATGTTTTTGAATCAACCGCCATGAATTTGATATCTTAACACTATACCCTGGTGAATCCCTAACATGTCCACTGCAGTGGATCTTTCTCATCATTGAGAGACTTTCCGTCCGATCAACATGTCCATACGACAAACTCGGAGGGATGTTAGTGATTTGAATACATTCAACGAGTGGTTCCAGCGTCATGGCCTACTGTCAAAGAAGTTCAACTTATTAGACAACAAGATGCGAAGAATCGCATACGATTTTCAGTAGGGGAATTATTTGCCATTTGACATCGGTGTCTCTTTCCGTTCTCGAGTTAGACGAGGATAATGAAGGCATAATGGGGTAGGCTAAGAAAATCTGAGCTGTAGTATAACCTGGTCACTTCAATCACCGTGGATCTTATAACGATCAATGCAGACTATGGAAAAGACGTTTGGTCACAAGTACGTACATTACGTCCAACACTGTAGTTTTTGATGGAGACCCAGAGGATGTGTCCAACAACAATATAAAGTTATTATTTTTTTTCGATGAAGTTCTCCATAATCTGGTTCTGGTTTATGACTAAGTAATGTATAACAAAGAACCACGAATATTTTATTGTTTAAACAATAACATATTCGTGGTTCTTTGTTATACATTACTTAGTAATATAAAGTTAGCTGAACGATGTAACGGATGTTAAAAATTTCTATGGAAATGGATAAGAATTATAGAAGAATCCGAGTAGAAATTACCAGAAAACTGGAAGAAAACTGGAAGAAAATTCTAGAAATTTAAGGAATGAATTCGTAGAAATCTCCAAAATGTGTTTAGGACAGATTGGAGAACTCCAGAAGAATCTAGAAGAAGTCGAAAAAAATATACAGGTGGAATTTTTCGAGAAAATAAAAAAAAAAGAAACCCGAGTAGTAAACATCGATCTAGAAGCGAACAATATCGACGGGATTGGTTACGTGAGCTCCCGCAAAGTGGTACAACTTGAAGAAGCTACGATTGACCATTATAGATCAAAACATATTCGCCGATTTACAATGGAAAAACTTCCTGGGAAAATTATTTTATCCTTTGAAGCGATTGCGAATGCAAACGGATGGTCGAATTCGCTGAAGGCAACAACCCTTATTGTGACTCTATGAGGAGAACCGTTGTACAAGACAAAAGATGAATCTTTATTGTTTCACTGACCGAACTTGTGCCGCATAAGATAAACACCGAGAATGTACAACCCATTCGGCAATCACCTAGACGTTTTCTGCTAGCAAAACGGGAGGAAGCGCAAAAAAATATAGGAGATATGGAATCTGAAGGTGTTATTGAGCCATCTAGTAGTCCTTGGGCTTCGCCTGTGGTACTGGTTCAAAAGATGGGTGGGTCAACACAATCTGTGTGGATTATCATCGAATCAATGACGTAACTAAAAAAGATAGTACTTCCTCGAATTCACGACACGCTCACACGCTATCCGTCTCCAAGTTTTTTATTCTTTAGATTTGTACAGCAATCGGATCGGATCGAGATTATAGCATATTACAGTCATGCCGTTGGGATTGTGTATCGCACCCGTGACGTTTGAACATCTCATGGCAAACGTGCGGGGTTATCGTGGAAGACTTATTTAGTCTACCTGGACGACATCATTGTGATGGGGAAAACCTTCAGTCGGCCAATCTAAGCTTTCCTCAATAAAGTGCCATATTTTCCAGAGTAAGCTTCAGTCTTTGGGACAGAAGAGTGCTCCGCTGCTTTTCAGCAGTTGAAAAGGCGTTTAAGACTACACCGATACTGTATTATCCTACATCGGACGTGGCATACATTTTGAATACCGACGCCAGTAACGTCGCCATTGGAAGTGTTTTGTCCCAAAAACAAAATGCCGAGGAGAAAGTATTTGGAAGCCCTGACGAAATATTATAATTATTAAATTATTGTGTTACCCGACTAGAGTTGCTGGCGATTGTAAAGTCTATCGATGGAAGAAACCTTACGTTAAGGACAGATCGTGCACAAATAAAATGGTTACTTAATTTCAAAAATCCAGAAGGCCGGATTGCAAGATGGATCGGAAGAATACAAGAATACGATTTTACCATTCAACATAGAGCAGGAACCAGCTATCGAAATGCTGATGCACTGTGAAGAAGGCATTGTAGTAGTACAGAATTGGCATTGGATATAACCGGACCTTTTTCGGAGACTGATAGCGGCAACAAGTATACTTAGTGGCCATTCCGATCAAGGAAAAAATTTTGGATCGGCCGTGTTGTAAGTTTTTAAACATTCATAAAATTCCTCAGTCCGACGAAATGGTGGAAAGGATGAAAAGAACGATTAATCGTTATTTGGCGATAGTTGTCTTGGAACGGCAAAGGGACTGGGAGCAGCACCTACATCTGTTTCTCCGAGCATATCAATTCGGGCACTAAGATTACCCTGCGATTTGAATTTTAGCAGCAAGTCTGGTAAAGAATTGGCGTGTGAAGATTATGTCAACCTTAGACGAAAACTGGACAGAATTCATAATTTTGATGAGATCAGGTTTTCAGAGTGCCAGTAATAGGATGAAACAAAATTACGATGTACGAGAAGGAGGACACAACGCCGATGGTCTGGTATGGTTGTACAATCCCCAGAAGCGAAAAGGGTTATCACCAAAACAGCAAAAGAAAAGTTGTGGAAAAAATCAACGACGTGATGTACCGAGTTAACAAGATGCCTAACGGTAAACCGAAAGTGGTGATTTTAACAGGTTGGTGCCGTTTGCCAGAGACAACAATCAACCTGCGCGAGTTCGCATACTGAGTAAAGAACAACCATATGACATTTGAGCAGTTCGAAGGGTTGTATGGGTACCACAGAAGGGTTCGTTTTGGTGTGACCACGGGGAAGGACCAAGATCTGTTTGCGTTATCGACATAATACTCTCTAGCCTATTGTATAGTCAACGAGGAATAGCTTACGAATTAAAAAAGAAATTCGGACCGAATGGAAGAACTCGATAAAAATAATCCAAGTGTGGACAAAGCGTTTGAACTGCAGGATAACGGACGTGTCGTTTATTACCTAGGGATGAAAGTACTTTCTGTAGCCCAACCGGATTATCAGGTGAGGATTGGAGAAAGATATGTTGCAGACGAGGACCCGAAAAGTTGCAGTAGGTACCTAAGTTAGACTGTGGATTTTATGGTTTCTATTGGTGAAAAATCTGTAATATCACAGATATACGTCCTTTACGTATATCTGTGGTAATATGCTGGAGATAATCTTACGCAAAACCCGGTGTGGACTGTTTCGTTCTCAAGAATGAATATTGTAAAACTGCAACGTGTCGTTTTCTTCATGATCTTCAACCCCATATGTTGATGATGGTGGCGAATTGACAGCATTGACAAACGGTGACATTAGATTAATTAATTAATTAACGGGTTGGCTTAAATTAACAATTCCATTCCCGAACCATAGAATAAAAATGCGTATACAGGGTGCCCCAGACTGGATTTATTATTGAAAATAGATATCAGTTTTTCATGAACAAACTTTTGCAGTTTTATGTGCTAATGAAGACTTCGTTTAAATCTATTACGTTTATTACGCAACGATTTTTTTTGATAAAGTGTAAGTTAGAAATAGAAACATTTTGGATAATCAATTTGGCTTTATGGATGGGAAAAGTAATGAAAGTGTTTGATAAATTAAGTTTGAAAAGTCTAAGGCTACATGTTTGGGCAATACCACCAAGAAAAATTCGAAGCCTCCAAGTCGTGCCGACCATTCCAATGGACAACATTCTGGAAAGAAGTTTTACTTGATGTGTTCATCGTGCTTCTATTTTAAAGAAGTATGATGTAAACAATGTGAAAATTTTAATAAAATACATACATATTTAATATTTTTCAAAACTTGGAAAATAATACCAAATATCACAGAGATGTATTGAAGTCAAACAGAAAACAGAACTTGGTGTAGCGCAATTGTTAATTAAAGATCAACATCATTTAGATATTCTGGTCTTAATTTAATATTAAAATTATAAATCTGTAAAAAAATATCTTCAACACATTAATTAACATAATCAAATAAATAAAAAAAATTGTACGTTCGAGTAGGTACACACGTCTCAACTGTTCTCCTTGGTAAACATTTTAATTCGCCTTCGGCGCTATGGCGACTACCGCAATTAAAGCGATAACAAAACCACCACAAACAAGAACGTATAAACTGAGCAATAATTTGCGCGTCCATGAATACTAAAAGGAACATAATTAGACCACTTATCATAATAATTATTGCTTACCGGTGCGTCCACATTAACCATGTGATCGCTTATTTTTCCGCTGCCCCCCATGTCTTTCATCGGGAAAGATGATATCCGCTGATTGGAAGAGTTCTCAGAGGCGCATCCTAGTATCTAGACAAATTTCACGGTAGCTCAAATCTTAATGGTAAAGAACTTACCGATAACACCAGATGCATGACTACGTGAAAGGCTACGAACGCAGCAAGTATGTAGTCGAACCAATCGGGCAAGTCTGCCTTGTTTAATTTGACGGCAAAGAATATTGTCACAACTAGAAAGGATGGTTACTCCAAGCATGTATAATGTGAGGCATCACTTACTTGCAAGTATATGAGCTGCATTTCCTCCGAACCAATGTAACCAGTTGAAAATTGGTCTCTTGGGCGTGCCTGGATGTGGTCTGAAGAAAGCACCGATGGGTTGCAGGAAACATAAGCCGGTAACCACGCAACCAAGTATTGCATGCGGATTACTAGTTTCACCAGACCATCCCTTTAGGAACACAAATATCAAGATGAAGGCCACTGTAGTTAAAGCCCATGTGCAAATCATAAAGAAGCGATGCCACTACAATTCAAGGTAAATTATACTGAACGGATACCCCCGATTACAGCCGTACAGCAAACCATAGGTCTTTGCCACAAATTGTTTTGCCAACCCAAGTTTTCCGATAGTATCGAGCGAGTAAAGTACCGATGGATGCGGTACCGATCCACGCAGCTAACATAAAAGCACCGTGTAGCCGCACTAGCAGTTTCGAAGCACCAACCACTCTCCCCGTGTCCGCCAAATAACCACTACTGGCACTAGCCAGATAGTCAATATCGTGGAACGCTACAGAATTCTCTACAAATACACAAATGTAAGATCCTCACCGTTGTTTCCTCTCTACCTTGTATACGTCTCCCAGCTGCAACCAACAGAAAGTATTGAGTGTTGATCAAATCGAAGTCAACATTATTCACTCTCGTTTTCGCGTTACGCAATACTTTACAATATAAGGTATCATCAATTACACTGTGGTTTACCAACCTAATACCTTCTTGATTCTGTAAATGACGGTATAAAAAGAGCAATGTTTTATGTCGAAGCACTTACGTTTGGCACTCTAAAAGCACCGAGGTTTGGTTTGGGGGTTGTCCACGATAGATACGCCCTGATACCATTCCCGTCATTGACGCACTCCACCACGGAATCATCGCCCATCATGTTATCAGAAGAGAGACCCAAACCAGCCCACTTCGCCGACGCAGATTTCAATTCAATCTGATACTGATCGCCGACGACAGTAATCGCCGTCGCCACCATGCAGTTCTGTGCGGAAACGCAACCGTCGGGTGCGCCGAAACACTTCTTAGTTTCATCGCAGCCATCGTAGAACGCGTCAAATTGAACATGGCGGGTAGTATCCTCCTGAGGATTGTAATGGGGCGAAGTAGACGTGCGGATTGTTGAAGTTTTGAAGGTGCTCGGCCGGTTGCCGCCGGAGAAAATTTGCAATGGTTCGGACCTGACCCCGATCCAGAACGTTTGGAAATTTTGAGCGATCGTTGAGCTAAAGAACTTCGTGAATTTCCAGCTGTTCACACAGACATACTCACTTGAAAATCACGGGCCCTTCGTAGCCTTGGGGAGGTGTCCATTTCACCGCAATCAGTGGTTTCGGCGATGGATCGTCGTGAGTAATCGTGTCGTCAGGGTTATCGCAAGTAATCGTGTGGACATTGTGTTCAATTGCTTGGAATCTACCACCGATTTTACCACTGGGCATACGAGCTTGCAATACTAAGCCTCCTATTGGGTAGTCCAAGTTGGATTTGATGGTCACCAGAACGTGGTCGTCCTGAGGTATTGCACTTATCTCGTATGGTGCATTTCCTGACTGTGCAGGTATGCCTTTGTGTTTGGGGGTGAGATGCTCACAGACCGAGGTTGGAGCACCCTTCGGAAGTGCATTTACAGTACTTATCAGCAACAGCAAAGCTACGACAATCATTTCCTGTAAAACAATATAGTGTGATTATTATGTGTGTCTCGCACCACTGACACAGTTTTATTGTTACGGAATTCCCATTATGACTAAGACTAGTAACTAATTAAACAACAAGGACTAGACATGCATTACACTTTTTACAAATTGCTTTGTCATTGTCGCTCTGAAAGTAGCAAATACCAAGGGCGTAGAAGATTTTTCTAGTTAACCTGTATCGTAGCATTTCTGGCTTATCATTATCTCTTTTTCGGACAGTAGAGTGCAAGTAATTATTCTAATTTGCATAATAAGATGCACATATCGGAGACCTACTAAGCAAGGCACAAACACACCACACGATTTTGGATTACGTTAAGTCATTGAAACTGCTAATTAACTGAATGTGGTTTTTAATAATTCCATTACTTTCAATCGTTAACGAGTTCATTATTGACTGCTAGTTAATAATTAACCACTTTGAACGACTGCCGCGACAGCCTATTTTACAAGTGGGAAACAGGTTAATAATCATGTCATCAGACGCTAGTAGTGAAAAAAGCGTATACTGGTACTGGCACCTAAGGAGGCGAAAGATGACGCATCTCCACTATTCATTGTAACTTACTAGTGCGCCACGGAGCCAGTTGGGTCCTCCTGTACACTCTAAACTAAATTGGTCAACTGCCCGCTCTCGCCTTTTTATGTGTCGGTGCCAGTACTGGAACTATTTTCGAGCTAATTTTCTGGGGTGCTTTGGCCTATCCAATAAAAAAGAGCTAAATTTGTGCGAACCAACAACTGCGTCCAGAGTTCTACTCAACAGAAGCACGTTTTTGTAACTAAAATAAATCTAGTGCGCTATCAGAACAAAAATTGACTAATTACGATCATTTTAGAGGACTTTGTAACGGTAGTTTCCAGAAATTTTTTTCTATTTTGTACAATGTACATACAGTGGACGAGTGGTCTTAATTACGGTCCTCACTTGTTCATTATGCGTTGAAAGGTTAAGGAGTGTTAGAAGTCGTGAGATATGGTGGGATTGTCTAAGGTTACAGGAAAATTTCTGTGTATGCCGATCAGCGCGAAGTGTTTTTTTTAAACCTTCGGATAGAAATTTTCGCGGAAATCAAATAAATTTTGTGACCAGAACAGTCGAATGTTACTATTTCCTTAAAGTGGATATGTACTTTCATTTCGCGACAATACAGTATCTCACTTTGTATATAGCTGCAGATAATATGAATCACTTAACCTTTTAGTGGGAGTGGTAGGAAAAATACTTCTGAAAGCGATCTTTCACACTTATGCGATACGCTAGGTGATATGTGTCTCTTACAACTCTCGTCATGTAATTATACTGTCTGAAGCAATTCAATGTTGCAATATGTATGCTTTCAAATACATTTTATACAATTTTTGGTGTAACAGGTGGTCGTTTAGCAATTTTCAAAAATTGGCTTTTGAATATGTATTTTGTTCAACATAGGAAAATTTACACATACACCGCTTCTTAGCGAACACGAAAAAAACCAGCGATAACAACCGATAGCCAGAAACGTATTAGGGAAAGCGGATACGGTTGCCACAATCCCTGAAGAGTCCTAAGAGTTTCGTTCCGTTCTGTTTAAAGCTGAGCACGTGACAAAAATTACAATTCGTTCAAAAAGGTACGCTGGTCGAGGTTTTTGCGTTCAGAAAATATGTCCCGTTTCAGAGCTGCTAAAGGGCGAGATTTCTGCTATACTGAGTACGCTAATTTATTATTATTATTATTATGATTGGTTTATTTCGCGTCAATACAAAAGGTTTACGTTTTAACTTCAGGAGCGACTACGTGTATATTTAGATGTACGAAACAATTATTTTACGGTCGGATTTTTTAGCTGGGTTAAAAGAAATATCCTCGAGTATGTGTGAAGATTCGTGATTCGATCTCAAGAACCAGAACGGGGAATTAGTTGATACATTTTTCTTAATCACAATTTAACTAATGCCGAGTAAAAATATATAAGTGGTGAGACCTCCTAAATTTCGACTACGTCTTGGAGAAACGTTAAGCAAATTCGTATTTGTGAAGTGGGGGAAGTGTTTTCGGAGCGCCAAATGTAACTTACATACAACGGCATACGGCACGGAATTTAAAGACAATTAATCGGTTCAGTACCCGCAACAAAACTTACTTAATAAACCGGGGAAAAATTAATATCAACGCAACGGAACATTGGGATTCTACTCCTTTTCATAATCATGATCTCGAGTATTACTTTCGCGAAATTGAAGCCGGTTTGCCTGGATTAGCGATTCATATTGACTTTTCTTCCGCCAAACAGCATTCATCACCAAGATAACGTTACCAGGTTGACGCAAGAAAGTCAATTGTACCATTACAGATGATATTCCTCTATGCCAATAAATGTAAGTTACTTTAAATTTTCTGATTTGTATAAATCGGTTTTTTTAGGAACTGCATAAAAATTTTGTTCGAAGTAATTTTAATATTCCTAAAAGAATCGACCCTGGAAAAATTAGTTGCATGAAACAGAACTGTATTGTGATATTTTATAAGAATCGAATCCAAACAAAGGATTTTTTGTTATTTTGTTTCATTGATTGGAAAATTTAATTTAATTTCACTGATACAATTCCTTTGGTTGGATTAAAATTTTGTTTAGCATTCAAAGGTGTGTACGAGGTGTGCACGAGATGTATCCTGCATGCGTTCATGTCTTCGCGCTAGAACGCTCTAGCTGGGCATACTTCCAGGACACTTCGTCGAATGCCCACAACGCCAAACACGATATTTTGAGTATCCATGTCGCCGACTAGAAACACTACGCCGACAGCGCCCACATCGCCGACACGTGCGCAAGGGACACTAAGCCGAACGTGACCACAACGCCGACTATTCGAAAAACAAGGCCCCTCACACCCCGTCCAAGTTTATTAAGAATTGTTGTATGAGTTTGCGTTTTAAAAAAGTTTAAAAAAATGCCCTAAACCTACAAATAACTTAATGTTCAAAGCTGCTTGGTTTCACACCTGCGTGTTTCATTAAGAATTTTTGTATGAGTTTGTAGTTCAAAAAAAGTTTAAAAAAATATTCTAAACCTACAATAACCTAGCGTCGGCGTAGTGTCCGTCGACGAAGTGTCCCTAGTCGGCGATATGGTCCATCAAAAATCGTGTCGGCGTTGTGGGCATTCGGCGAAGTGTCCCGGCCCCAAATGGAGACTACTTCAAAGGACGTCATGGCCCGGATGACGAAGAATAACACCAATGCGGAGATAGGAACGCAGGTCGGATACTTTTCGGACACACCTCGTATATTTTAAACAACAATAAACAAACCAATCTATTGCATCCCGGAACGTATAGTTTTTATTTTTATTAATATTTCAATCAACTTTTCGACCCTTGTAATTGTAACGAAGTCGTTACAACAGGTCACCACTCAATTTCTCCAAATTCCGGGGGTGTAAAACTCCAATTTCATGTTATCTGTAATACACTGATAGTTTAACTGTAAATTGGAGACTGGGTCCTGGGGTCCGAGGGTCAAATCGTATCCTTTGAAGTCAAGTGGACATCAGTTCAAATCAGTGTGAGAATTCAAGTTGGGTCTGTAGGTCAAAAATAGTGAACTATAATCAGAAGCTTAACCAAGCTGTGCTTTGAACGTAAAAACAGTATTTTGTCCGTGCAGAAAAATTTGTTCCTCTCACAACCCTCGGCATACAAAAGTAGATGGCGAAAGGTTTACGTACCTCAATGTATAAAATCTTGCACGGGACGTTTTGTGGGTACGTCACGATGATAAACCCCCCAGGTACGATCATGAAATTAATAAAAATGGCTACAGGGAACCTTAATTAAGTGAATGTTATGAGTATACCATCAAATTAAACTTCGAATTAAACCTTGCAACTGAAACAACACCATATCAACAACATAGGATTCAACTTAATTTTCACAAAATAGAAAATTGTTAACCGTCCTTGACCGTTCCTGACTCACAGTTTGCTTTAGTGAGAGTTAATTAAATTTCGAATTCGAGCGGATATGCGGTGACAAAAAAATGTTATCCACATCATGTAGGTAATTATTGAAGGGCTTGCATAATTGACAATGCCTTAGACTTAGACAATTGATAAGATTAGGATCACGGTCTAGAAATAACGCACTCGACCCAATCCAAAAGCAAATAATGCAAATGTAACCAAGGTCCATGCTCGGGTCCATGCGTAAGGTTGAACTCCACATGAGCTAATGAAACAAAAGTTTCCTAGGAAATTTTGCTGGGCGATCATCGGGAAATTATTTTTTCACAAAACGGATATGAACACCTTGTAAACAATATTACACAATCACTCCAAAACAAGTGCCCACTTACCTAAAACTTGGTATAGTCCAACACAAAAAGTATAAACACACCAAATTAAAACAAATTAACACTAACAATCGTAAACTAAACACTAAGCTCGTTTATCACAGACGGTTTCAGTAATTGTGCCGCGCATAAATACTAATCTTAGATTTTTATTCTCGTCGGAAAATGACGTCACGCGTGAATTCAAAGTGATTCAGCACCAGAATTAATGACCTACATGCCTTTCGATTTCAATCTTTGTGTACATTTGCCAGAAGTTGGATAATACCCATGGTTGTGGAGTGCACTCAGTGGTTGGGTGGATGTAAACCCTTTGGCACCGCCTGGGAAAACGCCCCAGTTCTTGATTTAAAAAAATGTGGTCATTCTATCATCTATATTTACTAACCAATTATATTTTCCCGCAGTGTTTGAACTTGAGGGTTTTGTCGAATTACCTTAGCAGTCTAATTACCAGCCGAAATTAATTAGGTACGACACCGGTTTCATTCCAATCCAATTGTGACAAGTTATTTAATCTGTGGCCGAATTTCCTCATTAATTCTTTGCTTTGATTCACAGATGATCAGAGACACATCACATTAACACTGTCGACATAATTACTACTAAGTTTAAACGACTGTTTTGATCTGTACAG